ACTTTATTCCTGGTAAGAATCAAAATGCAGCCAAGCTGTTCAAACTTTGAACAATGCATCGCAATTCAGAAAATTTCTCCAAATAAAACTTGGACACTAACTCAGTCAACTTCAGAATTTCACATCAAAATCATACTTTCTTTTTTTCATGTTTTCATCAGACTTGGTACTTTAGGCACTGTAGGACTGATTGGCATAAAAACAAATGTGTTTGAATATGTTTGGTTTAACTTTCTGAGCATTAGAATGCTAATATTTGACTAACAACACATAGCTAGGTGTGAGATTGATGCATGGTGTGATTCAACATTTGGCAGGTATAAGGTTTAAATCTTGGACAAGATATATTAAAAATACTGTGATTATCTAAATGCTTGCTCTAACACCAAAGAACAGGGGCACATGGTTGTAGCAGAGTGAATTTTCAGTGCTTTTATATTTACCTTTCTTTATTCATGATCCGTTCTGTACAAAGTTTAAAGCCAATCTGCATGTTTTAGTCAAGTTCTAATATCTACCAAGTAGTTTATATTAGAAAGGAAAGCATTTTTATCAGTCCTACATTATGTAGAATTTTGTGATATTTACTTTTCTGAGAGTTGTCACGTTTTCATACATACGTAACCATTCATCCTTATTCATCTTTCTTTTTAAATCTTTCTGTCCTGTTGTTCCAGGAATGTTAAAGTCCCATTCATTACAGAGAATAAAAACTGTCTGTAAGCAGTATAAACTAAAAGCTTTCACATATTTTCTTTAGAAAAGTACAAAAAATTTTAGGGCCTGACAATCTACAATACATGCATTCAGAACCACATCTAGCCCACTGAAAAATGAAAGGAAAAAAAACATCAAATTCAACTAATAATAATTGAACTAACTCTAGCCGTTTTTACTGTTCTTTTTTTACAACCTTATCTTAATAGAAGCATGAAAAATAAAACTGCTGTATTAAAACTGCATGATCACCTTAAAGGTCAAGTGATTAAAAAAAATCCCAACATTTTTTAAATGGTCAGTTGTTAACAGCTGTTTGAAACCAGACCATTTTTTGTAGAATATTATTTTAAACTTTATTTGTTTCATAGATTAAATGAAACTGATGACATGCCATGCTCCAGCACTGGAGCAACTACATGTGATTAAGTTGTAATCAACCATTTATTTTCTTCCATCTTGCTTACATTTTTCAATCAACCTGATGTTTGTGTGTCCTGTCAATTCTAAACTTTGCTTTTTGTTGTGTTGTGGTGTATCACAAATAATAAATGCTTACAAATCACCACATTCATGAGTTTCATCAGCTTCATCTGTGTTTTTTGTTGAACCAAATCCTTTTGCTGTTCTGTTGAAATCCTTCCGATCTTCCTCATGTGATTTGCGTTTTATCAACCCCATTTCAAAAACAGATGCTATTTTTGTGAGTGGCTTCTCTGCCGCTTCCTTCAGTTTTCTGGCATCAAACCGAGGGCTGTACAGTAAAATCGGCAGGCGATTGACAAAAGATGGAAGCGTTGCCTGATCCTCTTTGGAAGATTTCTTCTTATCCGAGTCGTCTTTTTTGGAGTTTATTTGGTTCATGATTCGTTCTTTCGTAGAGAACATTTGAAAGAGAAGTGCATCCCACATCTTCAGTGCTTTTGGACCTTCTTTGTTTTGAACAACCTCCGTATGTTGTCCTACGGCCAACTCGTCAGGGCGTTTACCCATTTTCACTTCACTGCCACTGGAATTAAGCTGTGCTTTGGCCTCTGGCTCTGGAAATTTGGGCTCATCTGGTTCAACAACCATGTGTTTCTTGAGCCGCGTCCACCCACTGAGTTTACCCTTCAGGCCTTTCAGCTTCTGGGTTGCTTTCGGCTCAGTGGTTGTAGGCGATGTCCCATCTGTGACAGACTTTTTGTCAGGAATTGAAGATGCAGCTGATGTCACTGACTTCGTGGAGGGCTCGACTGTTGGAGCTTCTATAGGTGCCGCTGTGGCTTTGGCCTTCAGGACGTCCTTGACTTTGAGGCCAGTTTTTGACTGAGATGGCGGTGATGTTCCTCTGTTTGGAGCAGCAACTTTTACTGAGTCTGAGGCCTGAGGCAGAGAGGCAGGAGTGGCAGAATCAATCACAGCATCTTTGACTACGGATGGTTTTATGACAGTATCTTTTGCTGGCTTTGCAAGGAAAGTGTTCTCTAGTGGTTGCTCTGTTGAAGACTGAATATTAGTCGTGGCTAAGTTGACCTGGATCAGATTGATGGGAGACTTTGAGGACTCGTTTTTTACAATGGAAGAATTGGTTTCTACATTTGTAGAGGATGGTCTTGATTGTGCTTGCTGAATGGAAGGCATTGCCTTTAGAGTAGTTCCGCTGTCTAAAAGTGGGTTGGTATTTTGGCTGGGTATGCTAGTTGTAGTGCTTCGTGGGGAARTATTTCCTTTATTAAACGAGTCTGAAGACTGATTTGTTTGTATGTGGTGCGTTGGGGAATGTACTTTCACCTCAGGGACCAAAGTGTCATTAGCTTTTGACATTTTTATTACCTGTTTTGAGATCATTTCCATGATTGGATTAACAGGCTGCTGAGCATTACTAGCAGGTTTATTATTTTGAAAAGGTGCAATCATTGAATTTATCTGTTCCTTTCCAACAGCTTTTGAGGGTTTTGCTTCTGTCAACTGGTTAAAAGAAACAGGAGTTTGACAGGTCTGGGGTAAGGTGGGTGTAAAAGTTTGTTTTGGTATGTAACAGACTCGTGGCTCATGTAGAGGGGAAGCTCTTATTGCAGTCCATGCTTTAGTTACAGTTGGACTAGGTGGGGATTTTAAATCTTTGAGAGGTTCATTAAGAGGCTGAGTATTTTTAGAATGGGGATCATTTACAGAAACATGGTGAAAGGACTGCAGGTTTGCATTATGGATGTTTATTTTAGGAGAAGGTGTGGGTTCATTGACAGAACTGATTAGTTTTCTTAAAGACTGCAAGTCCACTGAATCCACACAAGTGAGCACATTCGTTTCAGATGAAGTGATCTGACTGTGCTTTACTGTTTGTGTGGCTTCCTGTTTAACACTATTACCAAATGTGTTAGTCTCAACATGACCTGTAGAGATGGAAGCCTGTGTGTCCACTGTAGATGTTAAGACTTTTTTTGTTTTTATAGATGGACTTACTGAAGATTTTTCATCCTTATTTGACAGATTGACAGAAACCTCTGTTTCAGTAGTTTTAGTAGTAGTTTGGCGTCTGAATATTTCGGGTGATTTGTTCATATGAAGACAGTTTGCAGCCGGTTTATCCCCAACAGAACAACTAACTGTTTCATTTATTGAAAACTTTGCTGCTGAGTGACTTTCAAATCTCTCAGATGTGATCTGAGGACTTTTTGGTGGAATTCGTCTCAATATTGGACTGGAGGAGACCATAGGTTTACTGGGCAGTGGAGTATTACACATTGGTTTAATGTTCACTGTTGGTACAGTTAAAAAAGCTTCCATGGGAAGTTTGTTTAAAGCTTTAGAGTGACTGGTTGGAATACTGTCCAACATGCTGTCTACATGCATGTTGCTTGATTGTCCGGTAAAGTGGTGAGTAGCCTCTGCAGCTTCAACATGTGCAGGTAAAACTGTGTTTGTAAGTTGATTTGTAGACAACTTGTTGGATATATTAAACTCATTGCTTGGCGTACCTATGTTTCCTTTTGAATGATTAGAAGCTAGTTTTGTTTGAAAGCTTTCTGCTTTGGCGTTTGAAGAGGAAAGATTTGGATGCACCTGACTGGTTTCTGTTGCTTGTGTTGCCACCTCAGCCACCTCATATGACTTTGAAAAGAATTTATTTTTTTCCAGAACTTTAGTCGGGCCATTCCAGGCAAGATTAGTTTCTGGTTTTGTAGTTAAATTTTCAGGCAAACCACTTAGCTTTTCTTGTTCATTTTTCAGCAGATGCAACAAGTTTGTTTCTAGAGGAAAATTAATGTTTGAAAACTCATCTGGTTTGGTTGCACTGACAGGTAAGAAAGGGATTTTAGTTTCTGAGGTAGCTGTACTTGGTAAAATCACATTGACAGAAGGTACATTTGGTGTATTTGAGGGGAGCAAAATTGATCTGCTCTCTAGTGATTGGTTATTTCTACAAGCTGGAGTTTCTGTATTCTGAGAATTTGTAATTTTTCCTCCTACCTTAGGGGAAGATACTGTGCAGACATTATACTGGCCTGAGCAAAGAGAAGCTTTAACAGGTTCATGGGGCAATAACATTGTGTTTAGCTCTTTTGATATTTTTTCTGTGAACTGTCCTTTATTATTTCTGTTGGTATGGGTAATTCCTATATCAACAGGCACAGAAGATAAGCTATTTCCTCCCTTTGTCTTATTTGGTAAGTTATCATTGCTTGATTTAATTTTGAGATTAACGTCTTTGTTTAGATTGCTTGAAATATCTTCATTTCCTGCTTTGCTAGAGAGTGAGTTGCCAAAAAACAGTTTGACATCCTGTTTTCCCAAGATGGCTGCATTTTCTGCAACATGACTTTCTGAGAATGTTTTTTTTGTATGTGTTGCAGAAAAAGGAGCAGCAGTGTTTTCAGAGTCTCCTCCATTTTTAACCCTGGCAGTAGGTTGAACATTGGCACTATGGACTATTGATTGACTGACTTTCGCAGCACCTGTTCCCAAATTTCCCGACTGTTCTTTTATATTTGTAATAATAGAGTCCCCAATTTGGATTTTATCAGAAACTAAAAGACTTTTAGCTAAATCTTTTTGAATGGCATCATTGCATTTTGTTTCAATATTAAAGTCTTTCATAAAAAATGAGGAAGAACTGGTTGAATGATTGCTACCAGTTGGACATGGGGGTGTTTTTGCCTCTGCCACCATCAAAAACTGTGCCGGACTTTTTGCGTGTACCTCACCTGCTTTAGGTTTTGGTATTGAAGCCTCTGAGTATGAGGCTTTTGGTGTGGATTCATCACTTGTGGATTGTTGTGTTGTTTTCTGTGGCAATCCAAAAGGAAGGTTGTGTTTTATTGTTTCCAGATTAGATGTGTTAATAGACTGAACTCCAGTATTCTCAGCTCCAGACTGGTTTTCCTCAATGACATCACTGCTATGTTTGAAACCCAGTTCGACTGGAATCTCTGAGTGGGAGGATTGCTTAATATGAACCACAGAATGTAGGTCGTCAGGTCCATTCATCTGACTGTCATGCTTTAAGACATCTGATCCATCTACACAATTGTCTGACTGGATGTTATCTGACGTTTCATCCATCCTGCGAGGTGCAGAGAGCTGGTGCGACACAGCAGTCCTTATTCCACCATATGCAGCATACTCAGTTGGGGTGAGCCCATAATATGTAGAACGTGATTTGGGCTTTGAAATTGCTAATGTCATTTGAGTTTCCAATAGTGATGTTAAAGACTTGCGTGCTTCAACTACTGGAGGGCGATGGATGGAGAACACTGGGCTTGGACTTAGGGATGCTTGCATTGAAATAACTTGTGTGGGGTACAGATTCTGTGGTGCAGAAAGAAATGATGGAACTTTTGGCAAAGATGAAGGTTTGTTTTCTGAAACGTGGTCTGTTTTGGGGTCGTCTAGTCCTGCGAGTGAGGATTTGACCAAAGAAAAGTCAGGCACAGTTGTGTTTTCTTTGTGGTACAGCTCCGTACTAGCCAGACTTAAATTTATTGTACTCTTTACTTTATTATGAATCTCCATCTCTTTGATGGATGATATGCTACCACTGTTAGTTTGCTTCTGTTCTTCCATCACAGTTGGAGGCCTCCAGCATGTTTGGATTGCTGAGTTGTGTTCCAGTGCCTCTCTTGGAACAATGGGGACTTGTAAATCTCGGGAGAGGTTGAAAGCAGGACTCACTGTGGATAAAAGTGGACTGGAGGTTGGTATTTCAAAACTAGGTGCTGATATTTGAGCTGGTGTGTAGGAAGGAATGTGGGATCTCCCACTCTGGGTCCAAGGTGAACAGATCTGATCACTGTTCACCACTGCTGCAGGTAATGATGATGAGTTTAGAACTGTGAGGTCCTGGATAGAGGGACGTTTTGAGAGCTCATGAAGTGTTGCTTTTGATGTATACATCTTAGCTTGCATGGCTTCAGGCCTTGGCTCTTTCATTCCTTCAACAAGTGATATTTTTGATGCAGTTATTTCAGACGGCATTTGTTGAAGAACACTGTTGACGTTGCTGCTKGCTTTGGCCATTCTAGTTGAGTTATCCTTTAAATCAGCATTGATCTCCCTCTGGCTGGAAATGAAAGGTTGTGTATAAGTATTTGAAACTGATAGTGATACTGGAACAGGAGATAGATCTGAAACTTGAGTAGGTGCCATGCCTGGACCACAGTTGGGAGCAGCAGGGGAGAGGGTCAGACTGTGCATTGATATTTTCGGGGTGGATTGCAATGCAACAAATGGAGAAACCGTTGTGACTGACCCATGTGAATTTGAAGTCGTGTTGCACTTGAAAGCAGAGGGAGGGCATGGTGCAGGGACCTGCTGTTGTGACAATACAGTTTGTGATGTCAATGGTGGCATCATGAAAGGGGCAGCATCATCAAATAAAAAAGAGGAGCACTCGTACAGCGGAGCCACCGGCTCCTTGGTGCTCCTGGTCGCTGCTGGTTGGGGCAGAGGGTAAAAGCTGCCAGTGTGTCCATGGAAGCTGCCCTGATGATGAGGGAATGCAGATGCAGAGTGATTATAGAATGGGCCTGAGGGGAAACTGGATATGGATGAGTCTGCAATGTAAACCGAATCTGGTGTCCTCGGCGGGGTGCACTGGTCGCTGTGCTCAAGGTCCGTGCTCGCTTCATTGACAGGCGACAAACAGGAGCGGAAGGGGATGGGCGTCTGAGAAAGGCTGCCTTTTTTCTTGCCTCTCTTCTTTTTGAGTTTTTGAAGCCTTGCATTGTCTTTGCCTGGTTTTGGCATTAAAGGCGGAGGATACTGCTGGGAAAGGTCAGGCTCCAAGCCGTTACTGTAACACACCTCCATCAGCATTTCTAACTCCTGCAAGAAAGAAAACACATCAGCTGACCTTTCATCAACCAAGCATGACACATATGTTGCTCGTTTTTTAATTTAATTCTTAGGAATTATTTTATCTCTAGATGCCTCAGAAAATAAAAACTTTTATTATTACTAATTAGTTATATTTAATTTAACTACTTATACGTGACAAAGTTTTCTTAAACAGATTTAGTAAAGGATCCAACTAAATCTTACCAAAATATGATGAAACACAAGTATTTGTTTTTTTTTTTTTTGAATTTATTTAGATTAGTCAGTTCAAGAAGTTGCAGCAGGAATATTATGAAACCCTCCTTTCACTGTTTGCTGTCTCAGAGTAGCTTAAAATATTTTGTTTTTCATAAAAAGATTAATTTTCTTGCAGTTTTCAAAGTTGTCAACTGAAAAACCACTCAAAAATCACTTGTTTGATGTTTTAATGTAATCATTTACCTGATATTAAATGTAATGTTCATTTTGTTTTTATTTACAGCCGGACAGTTCTGTGAAGATTTGTGAACCAAAAACCACTTTCATTCCATCATTCTTCATATTCAAGTTTTAAAGTGAAACAATTACTTAAATTCTGTTGGTTTTTTTTCTCTTTTTATTCTTTACTTTATGTTGTTCTGTGATTCATATCTCAATGTACTTAATCCATCTTTGTTTACAATCAAATGTAATAAAATTGATTGCTTATGGTTGATTTCTTAATTGTTAAGTGTTTATTTGTTGTTCATTTATTTTCTGGTGTAGTTCTCCTCTTGCACAGTGTCTGTCTTATATAGAGTTTCCACTTTAGAGAGTTCAGCTGCTMCGGCCTTTCCTGTAATAACCCCTGCCAGTGGCTCTCAGACATGTTGACCTCAAAAAAAACTCTGAGCTCTGATAGCAAAAAAGCCATTAGCAAGTTCCAAAAATCTTAACTGAGTCCTGAAGATGCTGGACGGCTTGAAGAGCAATAGGTTATACAGTGAAATGCCAAGCTGTTCCTTTTAGAAGGTCTACTTTTAAATGATGACAAACTGCTTATTAAAATAGTCTCCTAGGAAAATATCTAATTTAAAAATGACCTCTGCTGGAAAGACGAGTGAACCCAGGAGACTTGGCTCGGGGCGGGGGGGGGGGGGGGGGGGGGGTGTATAGCAAGGAAGATGTTAGTTTCAATGAGAGACGTAAATCAAAAAAACACATCTAAATTTAGAAGCTTGGCTCCTGGGTGTACAGAGACATAAAAGAGTCAGAAATCTAATCAGCAGAAAATAAATCTATCAGAACATAATGGAAAATATACAGATATTTTGGAAAGGAAATACAAGAAAAAGTTTTAGTTTTTTTTATCTTTTGCAACTTAAAAACATGAGCAAAGTTCAACTGTTTTAGTTTTCGCTCTCTCTAAGGTAACACATTTTTTACACCTGTTCCCCACATGCAAAAACGAGTGACTTTTTTTTTACAAAAACTTCCCAAAGTGAAGATCAGAACATGAAATCATGATCTAATGGAAACTTTGACATATGTTGCCAACTAACAAATGTCAGCTTTTTGTTTTGAGCAAACTGATCACAACATGTCATCCAGATGCCTTTTTAATTTATCCTAATTAGCTTTGCTATAAAAAAAAATATCAAGATAAAACAGTAAGTAATTTTGTTGGGAAAATCTGTTTTATATATTTTTGTGTACTTCAACATTTTTTAATACCACAGTTTTTACCACCCGTCATTAGATTTATTTGGTTTTTGAACTTAGTCTTCTTGTCTGGTGTCATGCACGAGTAAGGATTGTAAAAAACATTTTTTTGAACAAACGAAATAATATCTGTTGAAAGAAAATATCTGAAATAGTGTAGGTGAGGCCTTAGAGTGCTTTTGAGTAGCCACTCGTTAAGATCCATGCCCTAATTTTAGTACGGGGAAATAAGAGCAAACGTCCTGACACCGAGCACCTGCTGCCGGTCGTCCTGGACTCAATGAAACGTCCTCAGTTTTCTGGTAATTAAGCTAAGGCTCAAATCCTCTCTGAGTTGATCTGTCTGCAAGTTGAGCCTTGACTTTCTAAGTGAGAAACTTCAGTCCAGTCTGAGCTGGAAATTTAATCTTTTTCTTTCTTCGGTATGATTTTGGTAAAACACGGATGCCACAACAAAAATAAAAGAAAAACTGATTCTAAAATTGTTTTCCTCCCCGCTTTGAAGTTTAAATGTCTTGAGACAAATGTTTTTTTCACGGCACCCTGTTGTCAAAGTGACTCCTGTCATCGCTGGGATAAGGAAGACAGCTGTAACATGAGAGGTCCCCCATTTAAGGCTCAGGGGTTGGACATCTGGGAGGTTTTCACTCCAGCAGCTCAAAAGAGGAAAGTGTAAGATTAGCTTTGTGATAAAAGTAGGCCAGGACCTCAATCCATCTTGTTTTCTAGCAGGTAAATAKATAAAAATGAAGGTTTCAGAACTGTGTTGTTGTCGTATTATTAATATTAAACTCTTACCTGAGATGAAAATATGTGGTGCTTGTGTTCTGCTTGATAAGCTGCAAAGGTAAAAGTCTGATGTAAGAAAGGTGCATACTTTTTTAAAAAAATTAACAAGCTAACTTGGTAAATAAGTACAAAAAATTGAGCCTAATCATTGCTGTGGTGTGTATGTTTCATTGAATGATAATTAAAGCTTAGTTGAGAGCTAAAATGTGCAAAAACACACTTTAAGCACTTTATTGCAAGCGTTTTTAACTGAGTACATCTGGAACATGCGYGTAGGACCACAAATCGTGCACGTGCTGTTATCAAATCCTATGTCATGTTTGCAGGTCAGCATCTGTCCAAAAGGTCAACMTCTCATGTCAGAACCACCACCTTGTCAATCAAGCAGACACGTAATTTGACTGGATTACCTTGGGCTGATTGGAAAACTTGCTCTCTGCTTGTTAATCCGGGCTCAGAGTGCCACGGGGCCGTCTCATCCTGATGTCAACTGCGTCTCAGGGAGCGAGCAGCGGCACCCGCAGCCCCTCCAAAAATAAACCTGTTGCCTTCAATGTTTGTTGCAGGGGGCAGATGGGGGTTTCCAGGCCACCTGAGATGGCTAAGGTGCAGCCCCTACAGGCGAACAACGGCGGCCACCACCTGAAGGAAGGTGGCTGCTTCTGCTTGTGGCAGCTCAGAGAGGCCTGGGACAACCAGACCCCTCAGAAAATGTAACAACAACAGCTGTCATGAGGAGGTCGAACTGCTTCTTGTTCTTTTCTTTTCCCAAAGTTAAGATCTTCAAACACTCATTTATCTGAAGAATCTTTGATGAACTGAGGAAAACAAACAGAAAAACACTCAGAGTCTGTTGGAGTGAGTAGAGGGTGAAAAATAAATCTGTCAAATAGATGAATAGAGTCACAAACCAACACACCTTAGCAAAAATATTCTTGAAATTAATTTTAMTAAGAGTATAAGTTTAAGCATATCAAGAATACTATACACCATGTACTTGTAGTGTACTAGAAAGTATACTGATTTAATACTTATTCAGATTAAATTGGAACATTTTTAGTTTATAAAAGTATACTTTAAGTATACTGTTATAACGTCTTTTTTAAGTTTACCAAATTATACATTCAAGCACACACTCATCTATATACTACTAGTGTACCATGTACATACTTTTAAGCTTGTTGATTTATATTGAAAGTATACCACATGTATACTTTTCCCTATACTGCCATTGCACTAGTTACATACTTCTATTCCAAATTTCAGTTTATTTAAGTATACTTGAAGTACACTTTTATGAATTACTATTACTAAAATATTATTTTTGCCATTTTAATTGTTAGATTATACTTGAAAGTCTGTGTGCCACATTACTTGTAGGATATTATGGTGAAAAATACTTCCTAAAGTAGTCTTAAAGATAACCCATACTGTATGTACACTGCACTGTAATGTGTTTACAAAATCACAAGACAGAATCTTGAGAACAACTTTGATATATTTATATAACATTTAAAATGTACAAGTTTAAGTTTTAGTATTAATGCACTTAGTCTTAAACTTATCTTTATACTTTTCAGTATAAGGCCAAGTAAACTATAATATTCTTAAGTATATCAAATACAGGTATAATAACTAAACTTCAAGTACATTGCCTCATTTTTTGTGTAAAATAAGTATACTAACTTTTGCTTAAAACGAGACCACCTGATTACATCATAAGCTGATCAGACCTTCTTTCTGTGGTTCTATCACTATTCCTTGTGTAAAATAACTGAGTGGATATCATCAGAGGTGTACTATACGTAGAAAACTCACATTTGAACCATCCTTATGAGGGTAGAATATAAATTCAGGAGGATCATATTTTTTTCATTTTCCAGTGATGATTACATGTTAAAATGTCCTTGTGAGCTGGTAAATGTTGGTAAAACCTAGGATTTAGATTACCGATGTAGAGGTAACCCTGGTGAAAAAAAACTTTTCTATTGTTTATTTTCTTTGTCTTTGAT